GGGGCTGCATGCGCTCCAGGGAACCGTGGGCTTCTCCCCCCGCCATCCGTCTTAAGGAGTGTCCCAAGAGGCTGCCTCGCTCCGAGTCATGATGGGGCTGTGACGCCTGCGGCCAGAGGCCTTCTGCAGGGGTCTGGAGGCTGGGAGCGGACCCCCTCGAGGTCTCTCCGAGGGGGCAGAATCAGGGGATGCCACTGGCTCCGTGCCAGCCCCAGCCTTCCCTGCGTGTGCTCAGGCTGGGGGGCAGGCAGCGGGGCCTCCACCAGGCGTCAGACTGGCCCTGGAGGAGCAGAGCAGCATCCTGACCCGTCTCCCCGGGCGGCCCCCAGGTGCAGGGAACCACCACGACCACCTTCAGCATGCCCAGCGTGGACCCCAACAAAACGTACACCTTCTTCGTCAGCAGCAAGGTCAGCACACAGTGCGGGATGACGGACCTTTGGAGCGACCTGGCTGGCCCCCTTGTCTGGGGGAAAGGTAGGCGGCCGCTGGGAGCAGCCGGTCAGGAGGAGCGACGAGCGGGTGGTGAGGCAGCATCCCCCGTCTCCTCCCCTCTCCTTGCCTGCCTGCTCTCGCTGTTCAGAGGCACGTGTGTGAGGGGATGCGGCCCACCACCGCTCCGGGCAGCTGGTCCCACTGTCCCATTGCTCTGACAGTGAGGAAGCTTCTCCTGATGACCAGCCTGAATCTGGGTAGTCACAACTTGACTTTATTCCGTGTCCTGCGCTCTGGCATCAGCCAGAAGAGATCTTGACCTTCCTCTTTGCGACAGCTTTTGAGCTACTTATAGGGTGATATCATGCCCCCTCAGTCTTCCCTTCTCAAGGCTGAACGTGCCCAGTTCGCTCAGTCTTTCCTCACAGGGTGGTGTTTCCAAACCCTAGATCATTTCTGCTGCCCTTCTCTAGACCCTTTCTAGTTTTTCCTGTGTCTTTCTTAAATCTTGGTGCCCAGAACCGGACACAGCATTCCAGACAGGGAGTGACTAGCGAGGAGCACAGGGGAACTAGTGCTTCTCTTGAACTGGAAGTGATGCTTCTATTAATGCATCCCGAAATAGCATTTGCCCTTTTTGCAGCTGCATCACATTGTTGGCTCAAATTTTGTCTGTTGCCCACAATTACTCTGAGGCCTTTTTCTTTTTCAGTGCTGTTGAGCCACACATTTATTCCCCATCTTGTATTGATGCCTTTGGGTTCTCTTTCCTCGGTGGAGGACTTGGCACTCGTTCCCATTGAACCTCACGTGTAGCTTTCAGTCCAGCGTTGAGATTTATCAAGTTCTCCCTGGGTCTTCATTCTGCCTTCTGGGGTGTTTGCTATTCCACCCAGTTTTGGATGTCTGCAAATTTGATCATCTTTCCTTGCACTTCCTCATATAGATCATTGATGAAGATGTTGGGGAGCCCTGGGCCCAGGACTGACCCTGGCGGCAGCCACCAGTTGCCTCCCTCCAGTCGGAGGAGGTGCCATTGCTGGGCACTCTTTGGGTCTGATTTAGAAGCCAATTTTGGACCCACCTATTAGTTTTTCTGTTTAGTCACTTTTTGCCAATTTGCTTATCAGTATGTTGTGCGTACGATGTCAAAAGCTTTTCTAAGTCTAGGTAGATGATGCCCACAGTGTCCCCCCTCCCCCGTCTGTTGGCGAGGTTACCCAGTCAAAAATTGAGATTAAATTAGTCTGACAGGATTCATTTTTGATAAATCCGGATGTCTGCATTTTCTTCAAGATGCTTACAGACTGATTTTTAAATAAATTCTTTCTCCAGAATTTTCCAGGGATTGATGTCAGACTTAATGGTCTGTACTTCCCAGGTTCATCTGCTTCCCCCTTTTCGAAGAAAGGGACGTTAGTCCTTCTGTCATCTGGCACTTTTCTAGTTTTCCAAGATGTATCAAAGATAATTGCCAGTGATTCTGGGAATTCCTCCGCAAGCTCTTTTATGACTCTGGAATGGAGTTCATCAGGCGCTCAAGATTCGAACGTACCGATTCCATCTCGGTATTCCTTAACCCATCTCAGGCTGCCGTCTCTCGCTTCTGTTCCGTGTCCTGGGGCAAAATGCGTCGGCAGAATGAGTTCCTTCCCCAACAGGAGCAACTGCTGAGCGAGGCCAAACCCCCAAGCTGCACCTCTCCTCCAGCGATCGGCTGTCTTAGAGCAGCCCTTACGAAAGACACCCGAAAACCTGGCACGACCTTTCCCGAGCGTGGTGCTACCCGTGATCTGCACCGCTTGGCTGCGTTAGGCTGCAACCGCCATGCTGGACAGGGGTGATGGGAGCGAGCAGAGGGAAGGCGGCGCCCGCGGGGCAGAGGCAGGGGCAGGGCCGCCTCCGGGCTTGCTGGGACCGGGCGCCACCGCCACCTGGCGGAGGCGAGGGACACGCCGCTGCAAGGCCGTCCTCTGAGCCTGCCGGTCCGCCGGACGGGCATCTCCTCTCCCTCCTCCGCCTTGCTGAAGGCGGAACTGCAACACGCCTCCCACCCGGCACACGGCGGGCCAGGACGTGCCGCCTGGCTGCGCACTCCGCAGTCGCCGGACGACGTGAGGGGCTGGCGGGGGGCAGCCTGCTGCCGTGCACGCGGGCCCGGCCGACCCACCGAGGCCCCCGGCCAGCGGCATCGCCCAGCACGCCTGGCGCGGAGAGCGGGCGCACAGTCCCAGCTGGCCGTGGACACGGATGTTGACTCCCGTATCCGAGCAATCGCGGAGAGGCTGGGCTGGGGCAAGGCGCTCTTGGGGGGGGTGGTCCCTGCCCGCCTCGCCACCCCACCCCACCCCACCCCACCCCAGAGCTCCGGCAAGTCCCCGCCGCTCACGCTGCTTTCCCCTTGCAGAAGGGGAAACCCCAAGGTCATTCTGGATGGAGAGCATCCTGGCCCCCGTGGTCTCCATCCTGGTGCTGCTTGTGCTCCTCGTGGCCCTGATCCACACGGAGAGGTGAGCTGAAGCAGGGCAAAGCCTGGCCGGGGGAGGGGAGGGGAGCCGCAGCCCTGCCCAGCCCCTCGCCTCCTGGCCAGCTTCCATTCCCCACCACGGCTGCCCTTCTCCCGGCCTC